TGTAAGTTAAGTTTTAGTATCATTTTCCTTCTCCCTCTCTTCCGCCAACAGTTTACACCTCCAACGTCGTCTATCCTCAAAGGTAAAGTGCAAATAAAACGACATTTTTTTTAATCAATTATTATTCTATTATGGTTATTTATACATTTACAACTACAAAACGCATTTTTCAGTGTTTTCCTTACTATAGTTATTATTATTAGGCCCATTATTAATTTTTAATATACTACTTAGCTTTAATTTGAGTGTTTTTTTCGTGTTGGAACGAATTATTGGGTTTCACATGTAATCGTATGGGGAAAAATGATTCACCTTACGACATTTTCATGATACGATCTCAGTTTCGGAACGGATTAATTTCGTATCCTGAGGTACCCCTGTACTTTAGAATGTTGAATAAAAAGTCTAACCTGTAATCGGTGAAAAAATAATAACGGAATAGGTTCTGGTAGAGGGCTTATAAATGTACTATTCACCAACTAACCCACACTTCTAAAGGTCAGACTTAGGAAAACATTACACATCAAACTTCTCTAAAGCGAAACCTGCCTGAGCAGAAAAAATTACTTTCAACGGGGCGATTTATAATAGTTCTATGAATTTTAAAAATTTTTTAATATTGAAAAAGTTGCGAATAATTTCCATTATATTTCACAACTACATCAATTATAAATAAATTATTCCTGCCAAATTTCAAAATTTATAACGTATTGGAAATTATAAGTCAAAAAGCGAAAAATTCATGTTCCACTTTCGGAATTAAACAACAAAATGACTACATGGTGATAAAATAGAATACAATTTGTTTTTAATTAAAAATTTAGTTTATCATATCACTATCACATTTCATTTTTTATAACATTTAAATTGAAATACTCTCTGATCTACCATGCTGATAAATTAAAATGATGGTGTAAAGATCTCTAATCGTTAAAAATCGCTGTTTAATATCTAACAAACAATTGGTTTAACGGTTCCGACTGGACACCGGTTCACGTCCTGCCCGTCACACTGACACGAACAAAAGACATTTCCGAATCCGCGCCCACACGTAAGTGTAACCTGTAACCTGACCAGTTTTCGCACTTTCAAAATTAACCGACCCAACAGATAGTCTTAACTCTATCAACACTTTTATAATATATAAAATACTAGTAGCCCGGAACGCCCCCTAGTGGGCGTTATTTACAAATTTCCATGAGGCACGGGTTCCTTTGACTTTTTTGTTCCTATCAATATGCTCTACAGTTTTCTTAAAGTCCCAATGGTAAGATTTACCCTCCGAATGAAGGGGTGGCAACTTTCCAAACTGTAGCCTTCCTGTGTGAACAATAAAGTCAAAGGAACCATACCCCTACTCGCGACCCTTCGCGAGATAAAGCCCCTGAAAATTCGCCTACGTCATTTCCGGTCACGTTACATCGTGGTGAAAAGGGAGTCTACCGCGCGAAAAAAATTAACGCGCGCTCGTCCACACTCGGGGGTCGCAGACCCGCTTATTCGCAGGGTAAATTGTGGCAAACAGGCGGTCACGTGACCCGTAGAATAATTTTCGGAGGGCTATATCTCGGGAAGGGTCGCGTGTAGNATTTCAGAATACGCGCCCACACGTAAGTGCAACCTGTAACCTGATCGGTTTTCACACTTTCAAAATCAACCGGCCCAACAGATGGCCTTAACTCTATCAACGCCATTATAATATACAAAATATATTTAATTTGATATGCACTGTATATAAAATGTTTAAAAAAGTTATTAAATGTTATCAAATTAATATTTATATAAATATGAATTTATTGATATTTATGCTATAACTATTCTTTTAATCACTAGAAACATATTTTTATAATGTAAAGCGCATTAAGTCTCTTACCTATTTCACTGGTATAACCGGAATTATTCAAATGATTAAAAGAGTTTGTGTTATTTCTTGAATTTTCATAAGTATTTATCTGAAACATCACAAAAATCATGTTACATTATCACACAAGTTAAATTTTACAGAAGAATAAGTAAAAAAATACTTAAACCGAAACATTAAATTCCGTTTAATCGATAAATTCCTTCAAAATAATAAATATTTCATCTGCATTAGTCTTGATTGTATTATAAGAATTCGTTCATTTAATTAAAATCTGGAGCATCCTCATACCAGAAAAAAAAATCACGTGAAAATGACAGCTTCTAAGTTATTAGACCTCAAAATACATCATATCAACCTGTCTAGTTATAAAATATTGAATTTTTTTTTGTTAGAACGTAAATTTTGTATTAAATTTTTTTTAAAAAGTCTTTGTAAATTATTCTTCCCTCTGATTCCTATGATATAAAACATACAAAATATCCATTTCCACTCGTTCTTATTAACTATTAATACGCCCCATACTCCATTGTTCCAGTTTGACCATGTTTCCGTACAATCGTCGCCTCTAAATTCCTTCAAAATATTACCTTGAAATAATTTTGAGTGATCGTTCAATAAAACTCCTTCCGTTAAAAACCTTGATAACTTTACAAATGATAGATACCATAAGTAGAAAACAAACTTACAAGAAATTCTGAAACATAATAAAATGCATAACTTGTATAAAATTTAATGAAATAAAGGGATGTCCACTAAACATCCACTCCTATCCTCTTCTCCAGTTCCCCCAATACTTCACTTGAGATACTCTAATTTAAATTCGCCCCTGTCCGATAGTTACAACGCGCCACAATTTATTTGTTTCTTTTAAAGATTAAGACAATCGATCTTTTAAGGATTAGGGCAGTAGGGCAATCGACTGAATTGTACCATTTATAATTATTGATAGTAATCCATGTTAGTATTTATATCTCACTGCTGTCAATCAACACCGTTAGATTTATTAAAATAGATCTATTTTAGTTTTCTATTATAAACATATTAGTTTACAATGGTTAAATTTTTAATAATATTTAAATTACAAATTTTCGAAAAAAGGTAAAACTAGAAAACAGTCGCAATTAATTTGCAACGTTTATAACTTGAATATATATTTTTTTCTTTCAAACAAAAACTGCAAGTCAAGTGATGAAAAGTTACTGCCTTGATTACAAATGTATTGACAAATGTATTGTTTATCTTCCCTCTCTCAACTGTGGGTGGTTGACTTCGCCGAATGTAGGTCAGTTTCTGTCAATGTACTGTACTCTCTACCTGAAATACAGTAGAGCGTCGATTATCCGAAAGAAATCCAGTTGGCAAATTTAAATTTTCGCCAGTGCTGTGGCGCTGCAATCTTTGCCTATGTCTTGGGCTACTGAAATATTTTACGTTTCTGACATTAAATTAACTTCTGAGGTATAATTTTTTATTGTTTTTATATTTTTCAATATATTTACTTTGTTTGTACAAAATAAAGAAGTAATTTTTAACGATACAATAGTCAAGATTATTATTTTAAAAAGTTTACATTAGGCTTAACATCGACGAAAATTCAACGCAAAGCGACACGCAACGTAGAAAAATTTCAACATGGGATAGGTTAATATTTTTTCTTGCATAATCGGTTATCCGAAATATCGAATTCGTTTCCCCCAATTGATTCGGATAATCGATGCTCTACTGTAGTGCCTATTAGACGCTTTACTTATTATTTCAACAATGACTATAGTAAGCGATGTTATAAGCGGTTACTTAATTATTTACCGCCTAACCCAGTGTTTCTCAGCGGAGCCGATATCGCCTTCATGTGTGTGTTTTTCCATGTTGAGGGGGCGATTTGTGTTGGGAGAATTTAATTTAGTAAGTCAAAAACCGTGGAGAACACGAGGAGGAGCTGTAGTAGCAGCGCCAGAGTTGAATAGTAGTAAAGTGAAGTATGTAAAACGTAACTAAATTTCCTGTATTTTTTTGTTTTAATATTCTGAAAGTAAAGGTTGTTGGATTATAACTGAAGGTGTCCTTCTTTGCTTGGAAAAACAAAGTCAACATTAACATGGTAGCAGAGAGTGGTTCGTGATTGTGACTAAAGATACGACATAGAAGTCGTCAGATTCGTCAAGAACAACCGAGTCGCCATTTTGTTGTGCAGGACGAGACTCAACGAAAATCCGCCATTACCACGTGTAAGTCAACTTCCTTGTTTCTATAGTTCATTTAAAATTAATTGAAAGATATTTGGAGATAGAAACGATGAACATAGGTATAGAAAAATTAATGAAAAATAACTGGGAAAACTGGAAGTTTCAAGTTAAAATATTACTAAACAGCAAGGACTGCTGGGAAGTTGTAACTGGAATGCATAAAAAGCCAGAACACCCTGATAACAATGTTAGTACAACAGAAAAAGAAAAATATGAGAAAGAGTTATTGATATGGTCCAGAGCAGAAAAAACTTCCAAATTGGTAATAGGCAGTACAGTAACAGGAGAGGCACTTGCAGCAATAAGAAATTGTAAGACATCAAATGAGATGTGGAACAAACTGCTTATCATGTATGAGAAAAAGTCATATTTGTCAAAGGAAATTGCACTAATGGAATATCACTTCTTTAAATATGGAGATGGAGAATCTATAACATCTATGTTTTCTAGATTAGAAGGAATAAGAGAAAAACTGAGAATCTTTGACAAAACTGAAGACAATGATTCAGTGGTATGCAAAATAATCACAGTCCTGCCCCCAGAATATAAACATTTTGTGACAGCATGGGAATCTATGAATGAGAACAGGAGAAATCTTGAGACTCTGATGGCAAGATTAAAACTGGAAGAGTCCAGGCTTAAACAAGAAGAGATTGAGAAAGACAACGAACAGGCTGAGGCTCTACAGTGTAATAGTAGATACAGTAAAAAGGGGAATTGGAAAAACTCAAGAGGGAACAGAGGAAGAACAACTGGTATAGTTTGTTTTGGATGCGATAAGCCAGGACACAAACAAAATCAATGTTTTACTATCTGTAGAACCTGTGGAATAAAAGGACACATTACCAAAAAGTGCAAAAAGCAAAAAGGAGTTAAGCACCTAGATGTTGGAATGAACGAATACAGACCTTTCTAATTAGAAAAGGATATAGGTTAAGTCAAACAGACCCCTGTTTATATATAAAAAGAACAGAAAAAAGTCTGACTGTATTAGTACTGTATGTGGATGATGGATTAATTGCAGGTAAAGATGCAGAGGAAGTACAGAATCTTCTAGAGGAATTGAAGTCAGAATTTGAAATAGTAGAAGGAACACTTAAGCATTTTCTAGGAATTGAAATATACTTCAAAACTGACAAAATTATATTGAAACAAACTAACTATATTGAAAGGATCCTACACGAATTCAATATGAGTGACTGCAAGTCAATAAGTACACCCATGGAAGGAAAAGAAATATACAAAAAGAAAGGAGAACAAGTGCATGTACCCTACAGAGAAGCAATTGGTGCACTACTTTATCTCGCAACATGAACCATGCCTGATCTATCCTTCTCAGTGAATAAATTACGTCAATTTTGTGAGCATTCTCTGGTGACAATTTTGTGTAGTACATTGGACGGATAATTATATAATTTATACGTATTTTTCGCTATCTAAAAGGAACTGTGAACCATGGATTGGTGTTGATGAACAACGGAGGTGAATTACTTGAAGTATTTAGTAGTTCTGATCATGCTGGAGATCTGGATGATCGGAAATCCACTACTGGATATGTGGTTAAAGTACTGGGAAACACAGTGGGTTGGGGCAGTCGAAAGCAAGCTACGGTTTCACTGTCCTCAACCGAAGCAGAACTGATAGCTGCAAGTGAATCAACGAAATAACTACTCTGGTTCAAGCGTCTAATTGTCGACCTGGGAGTCAAGAGTGCAATAAAACCTATATTACATGTGGATAACCAAAGCGCCATATGCCTAGCTAAAAATCCAGAATTCTCAAGAAGGACAAAGCATCTGGACACTAGATACTACTTTGTTAGGGAAAAATTTCATGAAGGAGAATTTGAAATTAGATATTGTCAAAGCAATATTCAGCTGGCAGACATCCTGACCAAAGCTCTGCATAAAAAAAGCTTTGAACGGATCAAGAGCAGGTTGGGAGTGGGTTAGAAAGGATTGCTGCTCAGAGATTCGTGTTCTCTTTTGGTTTTTAACTTAAGGGAGAGTGTTGGGAGAATTTAATTTAGTAAGTGAAAAACCGTGAAGAACAAGAGGGGGCGCTGTAGTAGCGGCACCAGAGTTGAATAGTAGTAAAGTGAAGTATGTAAAATGTAACTAAATTTCCTGTATTTTTTTTTTGTTTTAATATGCTGAAAGTAAAGGTTGTTGGATTATAACCGAAGGTGTCCTTCTTTGCTTGGAGAAACAAAGTCAACATTAACAATTTGTAACAATTTATATTTTGGGGGGCGAAAAACAATTTTCTGGCGATATAGTAAAACACTATATTAAGAATAATTAGATATTTTATTCGTTATATCGTACAATAATTAAACAAATAACATTATACTAGTCACTAGTCTATTCAATGCAGTGCAGTACGAATTTGGCGTTAGCCTTGTCCCTCAGCATTGGAATTTTGTAGTGAAGGGGGCGATACTATGTAACAGTTTTATTGATGGGGACGATACTCTGTTGAAGGGGGACGACGATTCGTTAAAGGTTGAGAAACACTGGCCTAACCCAAACAATTGTTTTGCGAGAGAATTTACGGTTGGATTCTTCTGACAAGACGCTTAGGCCGATTGGACTAAATACAGTTAAACAGTATAAAAATCGGAAAGTACAGCTGAAAACAAAAAAATATAGCGATTCGTTTACATTTTGACTCCGATGATGTATTCTGAAGGGATGTAGTTCTTCGCAGAGAAATCCCGACCGGACGGTCCTGAGAAAAATTTGTTCGTTTAACTAGCGTTAGTCGAGACAAAAATTACCAACCGCAGCTTAAAAAGCATTTAAACATAAACTTTAACAACCAATTAATGGTAAGAAGTCGTCCTATCACTATGTTATAGAAGAGAGGAGGATGGAAAAAAACTAATTAATTTCATTGCCACTAATCCAGCGATTTTCACTAAATGCAGTTCGATAACTTTGACCTATTTTTATGTAAAAAACCAGTGAGCAACTGCAAAAAGTGTCTAAAACATGTCGGTCAGATTGAAATGTTAGGAAGGTTCTGATTTTTTCCGATTTTTTAAATCATTTTCAATTCTTAAGATATTCTTACAAAGGCACTATAGAGTCTAGAAGACCCAGTGGGACAAATCCAAGATTATTTCACTAACCTTACTATATCTGTTATATTGAATCCTTTGTTAGGCCTCGGAATGATCCAAAAAACTAGAAATTTTAATCAATTCTTTGTAAGTTATTCTCCCATCTCATTCTGACAAATTTTATAGAAAACTGTCAAAATGGCTTTTTCGTCCTGTCATCCAGAATGACGTGCCTATCTCGGTTCGGCCATAAGTTATAAAGATATTCTTTCCTATTTCGTATTTTATACTTTTAATATTATAGTTGTTTTTTTTTTTTGTCCTTAAAGCTACATCAGAATCATAGAAATACCATACTCAAGCGCCGAATCAGACTGTTGGGACCTTAATACTGCTGTAGACATGGGCGTAGCCAGAGTTTTGTTGTGGGGGCCTAGTAGAGGCCAACCTAACACAAAATTGAATTATTTCAAATTATTCATAACATTGGGCACAGTGGACCTTTTTTTTTTATTAGTATTCAAAATTTTTAGCTTTAAGTTTTTTGTTGTTTCCAAATCGGCTTAACACTTTTTCGGCTGTGATTTTCTGGGGGCACCAGGTTCATTGGGGAGAGCCGTGCCCACCCAGGCTCCCCCCTCGCTACGCTCACGGCTGTAGAGCACACTTATACCAGCAAAAAAATTAAAGAAACCGTACCTTTAGATATGACCTTTCGCGAGATATAGGGTTAGTCCACCAAAATTACTCTGTGAGAAATTTGCCTATGCTTTTCTTCTATCTCCAAAATCTCTAACGGATGTGTTTTTTACCTCAGAGAACAGTACTTTTTTACTCACCTCTGTATTATTATCGTTTCCATATTCTAATGGTTCTGATTTGATTTTTACACAAAACTTCTTATCTTCCGTGTTTAATTCTTTCTTGCAATTCTTTAATACAACAGCAAAATTTTCTTTACTTTGTCCAAAAGTAAAATCGAAATCTTTTGTATCTAACTCTTCCTTTTTCTCCATTTTCTCAGTTTAGAATACTTTTGTATGTCAACACTGTATTTAATGAAAAAAAAACATTTTAAAAGGGTCGAGCTGAAATTTATATTTGCATAAATAAATGAATAAAGTTCATATAATGCGAATCACTTACCTCTTGTAGTTGAATAGAGTATTATTAATCATTATCAATTAATAAATTTTTGCAATAAGGAAATTTAAAATTTAGTAAAAGTAAGAAACAAACTCAAACGTAGTGTTGTTAGTGTTATAGCACTAAACAAACGAGTAGAAGCTCGACGTTTACGTAATCGAAAGAAATCACTTCTCCAGTCCACGTGACAATTTGTTGCTGTAAAACTCACGCGTTATAAGGTAAGCAATTACTGTTTTTAAAACCGACTTGTGAATATTTAGCCTACAGCAAGCGAAAATAGTTTTTTATTTCATAATTAAAATTTGAAAAGTTTCTGTGATCCGCACCACAATTTAAATAAAAAGCAAAAAAATTTTCTCTTGTTCAATAAAATTATTAAAATTGTTTTTAACGACAAAACCATGAGGGAGATAAGTTGTTTATAAAGCTTTTACTAATTTTTTCAAGTATCCAGACAATTAAAATTTTATTAAAAATACAGTATTTTTAAAGAGATGTAAAAATGAAATAATAAAATCTGATATAAATATCAAGTTACGGGCGATTCTACTTTTTAATCTGCTTTCCGTTTTATTTTCTACATTTAAAGAGGTGAAAGGTTAAATTGAGTACTGTAAATGCTTCTGCTTCACTTCTTTCCGGATAATTGACAAAGTAAAGTTATAATCAGAGACATGAACCATCACGAATACTCCGATGAAGTTTCTCCTGCTTGATATAATTGAAAAATGGCAACATTAACAATCATGTTGGTTTGGCATATAATAGTCTTATACTGTTCTTATTTTCTCGTGTTCATGTCATTAGGCTATATATGCGTGCAAAAGAAAAATATTGAATAAAAGCTTATTTTAGTATTGAGGGTAATATTTAATACGGCTAGAAAAAAAGAGAAACGTGAAAGAAAATCGAGAATTTAGAAGTGACTGGACTGAATTCTACGCAGCTGTTGCAAATTTAATAGGATTTCCAGTGTTTAATATGTCAAGAAAAGTTTAATAACAAAAAATCAAAACTACAAAGTCATTTTTTAAATAAATACGAAGCATTTGCAAACACTTATCGATAGGGAGAAGTAAGAAAAATGACAGTAGATCTTCAAAGGAAAACGAACTTAACAGTGGCGCACCGTGGGTGTCAGCCGCCCGGGGCGTAGGAAAATTTTGCCCCCCCTTATTTAGGTATTTCAATTTAAAAGACCAAAATTCAGTTTTGTCAAAGAACAAGCAATGAAATTCCGTGCTAGTGCAGAGACCTGTTTAAAATAGTTCTATTGGATATTAGTGGTGTATATGAACGCGAATGAATCGTACAAGCAAAAAAAGTAGGTCAACAGGTTTCGCAGGATTTCGTTGGATTAAAAATTACGTTCACCCGGACGGCGAGCCGATTCCCGAACTGTCCAGACTGTCCGGACGATAGCACTATCGTAGGCGCGATGCAAGTATAGGTTAGGATGTTTCAAATTTTTACAAGATATTATTATTATTATTTATTGTGCAATTTTGCCGCCCCCTAAAAAGTGCCGCTCCCACTACGGTACGCCACTGGAACTTAAGTATNTCGTAGGCGCGATGCAAGTATAGGTTAGGATGTTTCAAATTTTTACAAGATATTATTATTATTATTTATTGTGCAATTTTGCCGCCCCCTAAAAAGTGCCGCTCCCACTACGGTACGCCACTGGAACTTAAGTATAAGTACATTTTCAAATTGGATAAAATCATGTGATAGTACAAAAACTACTAGTTTTGTTGCCGCTCTAAAAATAGTGAAACGATTTTGTGAAAGATTGTTTTATTAAAATGTCCGAATATCTATTTTGCAATTTTAAAAACAAAACAGAAAGAATTGCTAAAATAAAAGACATACCATTGTCCGCCTAGGACTGCAAGAGATAGAACTGTTTGCATGGCAGAGGATGTAACTATCAGCAGGTTACGGATTTAAATTCAACACCAGGATTTTATATTGTCTGTGACGAATATTGCGATGTGAACAATATTGCACAGATTGTATTTATTTCTAGATATGTTAACTTTTACGAACCTCAGGAAAAGTTACTCGATATACTGTTAACTTACAGGACAAACACGAGGTGAGAATATAGCATCTGCTGTTACCAACTGTTTGAAATGTAAAAATACAGTATTTATTTTAATAGTATCAAATTTATGTGGAAATATGTTACCAAAATTCAGATATGAAGTTCGAGTTTCTGAATATTAAGTATCGCTTAAAGAAAACTTCGTGCCGTAGTTGAAAAAAGTGAAAAGGAGAAGAAATACATGAAACAAAACTTATCGATAATCGTGTCTTGTCTGATGCCAAAGATTGCATTTTAGCCGAAGTAATTTCTTTAAAACTATTTTCAAAATTCTTTGATAATGAAGTATTAGACAAAAACTGTAGATTAAACAAATAGATACTTGTAAAGTATTGACCTATTAGCAGAGTGGGGACAAAACAGGCGCGACCTTGTCAATTGGACCCACGTGCGGTGGGGTAATACCACTTGTAAGGTGTTGACTTGTAAACAGAGGGAAACAAAGGAAGCGCCGACTTTGTCAATTAGACCCACCTGTGATCAGACGATAGACCATTTGCCATACGGTAAACAACTAAATGTAAACAAGTGGTGGACGTTTATGTAAGCTTCACTCTCGTCGGATGACGGTGGACCGGAGTGTAAGCTGTTCGGGCAAGAAGGAGTTGTGATTGGTCGGAAGTCCCCGTCCAAAAAACCCTTAAATTGCGGGGCGAACGAGAGAGGAAGAGAGAAGGGCAAGAGACTGGTACACGGTAGTCTCAGGCACTTGGGATACCCGCTGAACGTAAAGAGAGTGTTTTCCTCTGGTAAGCATCTCAGGGACGGGTTAGTGCGGAGACTGGGCTGACCGTGCAGTTGAGTCAACTCCAAAGGCTGACTGAGGCCTCTTCAAAGTTTAATAGTTCCCGGAAACCAATCTAGTACGTGAGTCACCACGTATTGTTATCCTGTATATATATTATGTTTTCGAACTTGTACCTTCTACATATAGAATCTGTAAATAAACTGTAAATATTATCAATTTGAGTGTGGAGGTGTGCTTTCCATCGACCCTGGATCATTACATCGAATCGTGATACACACGGAAACCAACTCAACGAGACGGAGTTGGGAGAGAACTTCACAAAGATCTTCACTTACTTCCAGCAAAAAATGAAAATAGTGATAAGTATAATACAATCACACACCAAACACTTGCTGAGCTTATTATTAATTTAATATTCAAACGCTTTCAGCCTACTTCTAATAGGCCATACTCAAGAAATTACTGTTCTACTATCGAATACAGAGCTTTCGAACAATTTTTAAAATTTTAAATTTTAACATATTTTTAAAATTCCAAAACGTAAAGTACTAAATATTTAACCAAAAATAATATATTATATACAATATAAAAAATAAACCTATATAACATATAATATACATTAAACGAGTTAAAATCGCCACCAGTTTAAGGGTTTTTAATTCCCATTTGTTTTTCTATCACGTATTTCCATGCTGTTGGAAGAGCATTGGCGTCCTTGGCGTTTAAGCAGTTGTTATTTATTTTGCTCTTATATATCTCCATTTTTTCCATACCAAAGGCAATAGTTGGGGAATGGACCGGTTTAATTATCTTTGCCTCATCCCACTTTACACTTGCTCCATCCGTTTGTGCCATAATTGCCATGATGGTGTTGTTGTGTCCTTTATTGACGTCATACATATGTTCTTTTATACGCACCTCCAAGTTTCTTGTGGTCACACCCACATAATCTTTCGCTACTCCTTTATACAGAACTTTATACTCTTTATACAGAACATCACTATAAAATAGTGATGTTCTGTATAATTCTGCTTGACAATGTCATTATTGTCAAGCAAAAACTACAAAAAAATGCATTGTACAGTACGTGATGTTGGTCTGCCCAATATATCCACTCTGCGTTGTTTATATATTAAGTTCTATGAAATTTTACAAAAATTTCATCGAATTTAATTTATAAATAACACAGATTAGATATAGCTAACATATTAGCCATGTGTTTAATGTCCTATATATAGAATGCCCTGTAATTGATATAAAATAATAATAAATTTTATAATAAACCTTGTCAATAGTTTTTTTTTCTCTTTTAATATTAATATATGTAAATATATTACAATAAGTTACGTAAGTCTGTACTTAAATTTAATCATAAAACGTTAATAATAGCATTAATACACGTTTCATAAAAAATGATCAAAAATATAATTAATAAATTTCGTCATATTTTGGTTAATTTCTCCGTGAAAACGTCAATTAATTTCTCGCCATTCCTTACCATCTTACAAGTTTCGAATCAGAAATATTTAAAACAGACGATCGACTCGACGGCGCCAAATACTCGGTCGCCATTTTGTCCACTTCATCGGCCAACCACAACTATCTTTTATCTTATTATTTTCGAGATATTTTACGATATCGTAACATACGATTGGAAGTTTTGGTCAATTCTGGTCCAGTTCACGTTTCAGTTAATAAATTAGAGGAAGAAATTATCATAAAACTTAACCTTTTTCGTACTAACCGTTAGCTTTGAATCCCATAGTCTCCAAGACGATGGCGTCGACGGTGTTCTTCTGGATGCAAAAATAAGTTTAAAAGTTAGGACCGAAAATTTCATAAAATTTAAGAATATTAATTGATTTCGAAGAGTGTTTAATATTAATATTTACTCAGTCGGAGGACTTTTTAAATATTGGATTTTTCTTAATTTCTATTAATAAAATCTGTTTACTAGTTTAGTTCTTTTTACTCAATCTAATGTTTAAAAAAATATAATTTAGCTGGAAATGGAAAAGAATTTCTTTTTACATTTTATATTTAATAATATTTTACATTTTTCAATTTGTATCGATAAACTATTTCGTGATTATCCGTACGTTTCTATATTCAACGGTTGACTCAACAGTGAATTTTCCGTTGAGTCCCTCCGTTGGACGATCTGACGTCACGTTTTGCAGAAAAAAGAAACGCTTTCGTTCAGAGGTCGCTTTTCAAGATGGCTGACTTAAGTAAGGAGAAGGTGGCGATTGTGACTGTTTTGCTAAATAATTAAAGTAACTTGCTTAACCATTATTCGAATAAATCCTTTTATTCAAATGAACCCATATCTGTATCATTTTCTTGTGTACTGGATCTTTCTTGAATAATTTCAATTAATTTCTTGAATATTTATATCATTAGGAAGACTTAGAGGGCCAAATATCGGTCGTAATCAATTTTGGACAATGAACAAAATTTTAATATTTCAATATTGACCAAATTATCCAACATAATCATGCAATCACATGTTTTATCATATACAGATTGTTCATTAATCTGTTCGCTATTACAGCATCCACAGCAGCGAATGGATAGTTGCTCTAAGCGAAATTTACTTTTTCATGGAAGCCGCCATGTTAGTTTGTTGAATATTCAACGGTCTTTCAGGTCATTGAGAGCGTTGAGCTTAACGGTGAAAGAACGCTGACGTCACTAGTCTCATCGGAGAACTCAACGGTCCATTTAGATACGTTGTTCTCTCATCGTTGAGTCAACTGTTGAATATAGAAACGTACGGTATAGAGGGGGTGCAGTCACGTGATATAACGTCATCGCCCCGCCCACCAAAACAATTGTCCGCCATGTTGGTTGCTGATTTGACGTTATGTTGCTCATTCGCTTATGTCAACGTGGAAGAAAGGCATCTTACCTGGCTATGCAGCCTGTTTAAAAGATAATGATTTGATAGAATATAAAGAGAAAATTTCTTTTATTAGATGGGATTCATACGAAATGAAACCAACGGATTTTTCATCCAACGATTTAACCACGTGGCCCACTATAGAACATGGAGACATAGTAAATTATTTGGTTTTAACAAGTAACGCTGTCACACTAAATCAGATGAAGGCATACAAATCACTCGATGCTTATAATTACTTGACAAACGAATTTATTAATCGTGAAATTTTATCAAGATCCATTCATAATGATTTAATTTTGCTTGTAGGAAAGGTACTGTACTAGGTCTACTTTTTCTAAATATGTTGAAAGCAATGATAAATTGCCCAGTACTAGTAATGGCAGTGACAGAAGTACGACAACGTATACAAACTCAGAACGAAATCAGAAAAAGTCATCAAAACGACTTTCTTTTGCACTGATTCTTTGGATTAATTAGACAAGGTAGTGGGAGTAATTCTTATCCTACTACAATTTATACAGAATCATATCCACTTACCATTTTGCACCTCCATCAAAACGAAGTTCTGTCTCATTTGACCAACAAGTCTATCTGAACGCTAATTCATTTATCTGAGGAAAAAAACAAGACATGAAAGGAAAGCATACAAAACAGCTACTTTTAAAATTACATTAGCTCTTGTCTGAGCAAAACATTATACTGTAATAACTGATTTTTCTGTAATCTGTGATCATAATTATTACATACTGGAAATAGAAGAATATGTGTTGTACCATCTTGCAGGATTCGTAGTAGAGGAGAAGGTGGTATTATGGAACCACCCCATTTCGAACTGATAATAAAGGCGAACTGTAGCAAAATGTGGCTGAACTGAACTAGGCAGACATCCATAGCAAGGGGAAAATCCGTTTTACTTCGTTTAAACGGTTGTTCGTATTTAATCAGCAAATTTGTTTTTTTCTAAATTCGCAAGTTTTGAATGCTAAGTGTATTTAATTATTTTTAAAATATAAATCGTGTAGTTGTAGGTTCACTGGTGCACGTATTCCATTCCAGAGACTTAGGGGTACATATTAATCTGTGTGATGTTCACGTTTTTTAAATTTTTGTCTCCACAGACATAAGTTAATTCGAGATGGCGATGCGTGAAATACGGACCCCATTGGTGCTTTTACAATAATATGGAACTCAACTTCTCCGAACTTTTTATTTGCAAGCAGACATTGTTCCAGAGCAATTTGTGAAAAAGACACTAGGTAGAAAGCCAATTCTTCCCGAGATTATCGAAAAAGAGCTGCTGGAATATATATTGTTGATGGAGGTCATATTTTTCTATTATAAAAGCATTTTTGCGATAAAATACATTGGAGTAAATAATTTGGTAATTATTTAACAGTTTTTGTCCTTTCCTATTTGTTTTTGGCTACATTAAAGCATTTTTTTGAAAATTTACAGTAAGGTTCCATATTACCACCCGATTTTCTCTAAGCCTACTTTCGGACTTTTTGTACAAAAGCCTTCAAAAACCATACTTATAATTACACTAGCGAAAAATCCAATTAGGAACATTTAGATTACTAGTTACCAGTTCTTTTCGCACAAAAAATGTGAATGTAGTTATGATACCTTGTTTACAATTCACTAAAATGTAATTGGGGTTCCATAATACCACCTTCTCCTCTATACAAATTATTGCTATTATGAAATTACTCCGATTGCTGGAGCATTCTAACTGAGAATAGATTTGAGTTCCAAACACAATTTCTGCTATTTCTGATAAAATTCCAAAGTGGGTTTGTGCACCTCAGCAGTTGTGTTTTAAGGCTTTTTACATGGGCAAAAAGTGTAGTTCAGAAAAATCTGTTAACAGGAAGCAAATAAACATATCTCTACATTATGGATGAAACATTATCATTTAACATCCATGTTCAACATTATTGAAATCTTACAGTAAAACAAAATAAATAGATTATTAAAACAGTTTCAAGTTTGGCATAGGTGTAATAAGAAAAAGTAGCGGCTTTAACCATTTTTGGCAACGGTTTGACCATCTTAAAACAAATCGCATTAAAACTGTTTTTTATGAAGTTTGTTCAAACCATATAAAACCTGAAATTGTTTTAATCCAATTTTTTTACTTCAGCTTTGAAAATATTTATCAAATCAAAGATGAAATATGATCTAATCTATCTTCGTCACATCTGATTTGTTTCATGAAATCAAAGAGTTTAATCTCGCTATAAACAGAGTACATTCTTTTATAAGACATAAATTTATAGCTAATTAAATGTTTTTTATGCCTAACAATGCTTAAAATATTTCAATATTTTCACACGTAAATAATTTAATGTACAGTACGATACATTGTGAAAGGCCCATTCACAGTGAGTTACGTAAGTGCAACCTTAAACTTCATCGTAAAAAGTTAACATAAATAAAACTTGGAGTTCGCAAACTTTAAAAGTTTACCAACACCAAATTTTTATGCTTTTTACGTGACTTAAAAACAAGAAACAATCGTAGTGGTTATGGAATTCCTACTGATAAATATTTCTCTGGTTCAATGGAAGAATCCTCCATCACTTCTTTCTTGCACTTTTAAGTTTCTTGAGTAAAACATGAAACGTGTATGCTTCGGCGTTATTTATATCAGTAAATTGGATAGCTATATCATCAGTCGTTACGCAAACATCAATTTCATCGTCCACCACTGCATTAAAATAGTATTAAATTATATTTGAAATTTATTTCTTAAGTTGCACTATTGGCTGCACTAAGAATTTGTTCACCTGAGTGCATACATGAACTGCACACCTATCAGAACCAGCCCTTCCAGGACTCCAGCCGGCGCCCTTAGTTTAAATCGTAATTGTCCATGGAGGTTATAACCCAGATGTTCACAAATTTCAAGGGCCTCTCCCTGTGTGTGTTTTTTTTTGGTTCATTAGACATTTAAGGGTAGCCCTTCCCCCTACGAACAATAAATGTCTAATGAACCACCCCCCTACGCGAGACAAAAGCCCCTGAAGATTCGCCTACGTCATATCTGGTCACGTGACATCGTGGTCAAAAGGCAGTCTCTACCGCGCGAAAAAAAATTAAACGCGCACTCCTTCCTTAGGTCTTTCTCTTCTCGCGCTCCTCTGCTCCGCCTTCGCCGTCTGTACCGGCCTGCGGTCCATGTCACCCGCCTGAAGTCATCCGTAGTCGCCATCTATTGCCTGTAAATACAATTATACATTATATTACCTTGACTGAGCCTCGAACCTGGGTCTATGTTGACTGTAGTCCAAGCCTTTCTTTACTAGTCCAGCACGTCCTCTTATAAGAAACATTTCGGAACTCATATTTGAGACGAACGAGCCCAAGGGCAGCACTGCGCATGATAGCCAAATCACGTGGTCGTTCCTCAGCCATAGATAATTTAAGCGGGCAAATTGAGTTTACTATCCTCTGTACAGTATTATATATAAATTAGGTACCGTATATATAATTATATATTAATTATATATAAATTAGGTACTGTATATATAATTATATATTAACTTAATTTATTGTAACTTCATTATAATTATATATATACTTTCCGTTGTCCAGCGCTACGCTAGGGAGAGTTTAGGTGAGTAAGTTGTTTACTATCGTCTGTACAGTATGTAAATTAGGTACCATAAGTTTAATACAGTACTGTACTTTTATACATTTCTTGTGAAAGAAACATTTTTTATTCAACGGCCATAAAAATTATTTATATTAATGATGTCTCCAAAGTTCAACGAAGTTTTCGCAGAAAAATAACTTATCAGAAATCGCGGCCGCGGTTTGGTGC